TCTAGATTCCAGTTTAGTATGATCCACACGTAAATCTTTCACGGACGGGCAAGTTTTTAAAATGGTTGGTGTGCATGTCCCAAGTGTTGCAGATGACTGAAGCAAACCCGACTTGCGTTATTACTTGCTCTATCCATCTGGACTGAACAGTTAAACCTTCCTATATCAAGTTTTTATTTGTGTGACATTAGGCCCTTTGCCCACACAGGGTCTTGGTTATTTAAGTTACCAATTGTCAGTCTGTTCTTTATCAGTTCATCATGAATTACATGCTTTTTCTTGTTTGAAAGTTAGGTGAATTATAGCGTCTGAACTGAAAATCATTGACCTATTTGTCACCAGATAGGAATGGGTGTTTGCCACAGTAATGTTATGTATGTCAATGCGAGTAAATTTACTCCGCTTTTGTAAACATGAATTGAGAATTATTCTTCAGTGAAAGTTGTAAAGCTCTAGGTATACCCAGGGAGACAGGTTGTAATTCTACTATTTTTATTGCAGCAGTAGTTAGAATCGTATTACCATGCTGCGACTGTTTTACCTTTGAGGTTTTCACGTCTCGCATTGTTGGCATTTTAATTCTACTACTTGCTTGCAATTGATTCTATTTTAACACAGTTGTAANCATCTCGCACTTTTGGCATTTTAATTCTACTACTTGCTTGCAATTGATTCTATTTTAACACAGTTGTAAAGAGAGATTATTATTTTTGTTGTTTGTTATTTTCTTTCTCCGCATATAAACTACCATATATTCTTTATTCTTCATGAAGTATGTCTCCCAAATCCACTGGGTCTGGCTACAGATGCATTTCTTTTATGCTGTGTTTGTTGATGTGTCTTGCATTCCTCTTTTTTATTTGGACTCAAGTTGAAGACATCACTTTCATTGGGGAATACATATTTGGCATTTGAGAAGCACTAGGTTGGTTTCTTTGTCCAATAGTTGCCTTTTGACTTAGCTTTGGACGTGTCTCAAGTCCTTTGTCTTTGGAATGGAGACTTCACTACCAAGACATGAATTGCTTTGGGGAGAAGCATGTGAATTTTTCGGTCTTCTCCAACGGCTTGCCATTGACATCGACGACAAGGATGAGTTTTCATCTTTGGAGATTTGGGATTTGCTTGATTTTGTTGGGTAGCTTGCTTTCCTTCCTTGTAGTCGCATAAGGAAGAGTTTTTTTCAAGTAGTTCTATGTTATAACGGTTGGTTCCAGGAGAAAGGACTTTTTTCTTGCGGTAATGGGATATATTCGACCTCATGTCTTACTAGCAGGTCGAATGAGCGCCTTAGTTCTTGTTTGAATATTGAAATATTAGCAACATGGATTCGCATGAATCTCTAGTTTGGTTCATGCATACGATTCTTTTATGAAATCAGGATCTTCTATTGCAAGCACACAATATTCTTTTGAGGAAAGTTATATCGAGATTATCTTCGGTTAATGTTCAATCATGTGAATTGTAGAAATCAATTTCTTACGTCCAATTTCCTGTTAAAATAAACAAAAAAAAATTTCACAAAATTGGCCCCCTCTTGTATGGTGGATGAAAGTGATGAATTTTATTAATTGATTGTAATAACTAAATGAAATCTTCCAGTGTTGATGCTTTTAGTGTTGTTTAGTAGCTCTCTGAGAAAGTTCAAACCAACACGTAAGTTAGTTATCTCAGCAAATATTCAGTGTGTGTGTGTGTTGTTTTGGGTGGGGGGGGGGGGGGGGNGCAAACCCGACTTGCGTTATTACTTGCTCTATCCATCTGGACTGAACAGTTAAACCTTCCTATATCAAGTTTTTATTTGTGTGACATTAGGCCCTTTGCCCACACAGGGTCTTGGTTATTTAAGTTACCAATTGTCAGTCTGTTCTTTATCAGTTCATCATGAATTACATGCTTTTTCTTGTTTGAAAGTTAGGTGAATTATAGCGTCTGAACTGAAAATCATTGACCTATTTGTCACCAGATAGGAATGGGTGTTTGCTACAGTAATGTTATGTATGTCAATGCGAGTAAATTTACTCCGCTTTTGTAAACATGAATTGAGAATTATTCTTCAGTGAAAGTTGTAAAGCTCTAGGTATACCCAGGGAGACAGGTTGTAATTCTACTATTTTTATTGCAGCAGTAGTTAGAATCGTATTACCATGCTGCGACTGTTTTACCTTTGAGGTTTTCACGTCTCGCATTGTTGGCATTTTAATTCTACTACTTGCTTGCAATTGATTCTATTTTAACACAGTTGTAAAGAGAGATTATTATTTTTGTTGTTTGTTATTTTCTTTCTCCGCATATAAACTACCATATATTCTTTATTCTTCATGAAGTATGTCTCCCAAATCCACTGGGTCTGGCTACAGATGCATTTCTTTTATGCTGTGTTTGTTGATGTGTCTTGCATTCCTCTTTTTTATTTGGACTCAAGTTGAAGACATCACTTTCATTGGGGAATACATATTTGGCATTTGAGAAGCACTAGGTTGGTTTCTTTGTCCAATAGTTGCCTTTTGACTTAGCTTTGGACGTGTCTCAAGTCCTTTGACTTTGGAATGGAGACTTCACTACCAAGACATGAATTGCTTTGGCGAGAAGCATGTGAATTTTTCGGTCTTCTCCAACGGCTTGCCATTGACGTCGACGACAAGGATGAGTTTTCATCTTTGGAGATTTGGGATTTGCTTGATTTTGTTGGGTAGCTTGCTTTCCTTCCTTGTAGTCACATAAGGAAGAGTTTTTTTCAGGTAGTTCTATGTTATAACGGTTCGAATGGGAATGCCAATGTGAATGGTTACTAAAAATTTCGATACCAGTGCACTAAAATTTTATCTAGGGGCAAAGTTGAAAAGAAATAAGTGATAGTCAATTTACGTTCATCTTGAAAAAAAAAACTCAGAACTTGTAACACATACTTAATTTCCATCGCACCAAAAATAGGATGATTGTGTTTAACTGAAAAATATTATTGATTCTATAATTAATGTAACATTTCAGATTGCCAAACCATTATTTGGCACTTGTACTATAAACATATGACTTTGTTGTTATGTTTTGATTATTCTAATGGCGGCTGTTGATCATATTTCAAATAAAAAATCTTACAAAAATTGTTTCATATATTCTGTGTGGACAAATGGGAAAAAGGGTTGACATAACACCATGTTAGGTTATTGATTTTAGAAGTTCCTTAGTATTTTGATTGGAAACAACACACGCAATACCATTTAAATATATTTGATGCTATCTCAAGTCTACCATGATTAAAAAAAAAAAACTTCACTTGTCAAAGGTTTTAAAGAGCTTAATACAAGTGTGCAATGTTTTATTCTGTTCTCTATGATGGCAAATCAGGCTTGCAGATATTCTTCAACAATGATTGATAAATCATTGGAATTTGGATAAATTACACTTACCCTTTTTTCACTTTGCTCTCTCAACTATCAGATTTCTCACATTGTCCTCCCAACTACCAGATTGTCCCAATTATTAACGTTTGTTACATAATTAATGGTAAATTATTTCATTTTGTCCCCCAAAATATAGAATTTTTTCACTTTATCCCGACACGGCCACATGTCAACCATTTCAATCTAAAAAGATAATGTGTGATTGGGGCAATGTGAAATAAAACTGTTAGTTTAGGGTGCAATGTGAAAAATTTGATAGTTAGGGGGTCAAAGTAGAAAAAGGTGATAGTTTAGGGGTGTAATTGTAATTTACCCTTGGAATTTATACAAGGCATTTGTTACAAACATTACATTTTCTGCCAGGAAATTCCTCAAGAAAGGAATATTTGACTAAGATTTGATCATAAGATTATTGGATGATCAAAGTCGAATCAATAGTTTTTTAGTGTTTGGTATTTTTTGGCTGATGAAATGTAAACAATCAAGTTGACGTATTAGTTGAGGCTAATTAAACAACATGTGCTGACACTCACAAGCTTTTTATATTGCTATGTTGTGGTTGAGAATTGAGAAGAAATTAGAGCAAAAGTTGTTGAATCTCCCGGTATATTCTAGAACTTACAAGTTTCTTTGTACCACTAACTGTAAAAATCTGCAGTACTTGATCAAACCAAGCTGAAAAAGAGTCCCATTGGTCACAATATAATCACACCACATATGCATTCCAAGAGTTATAGTGATTGTTCTTAAGAAAGTTAAGGTGTTTTGCATATCAAATGGACATCACTTGATGTTTATCAAAAATTCTAACTGCTGGGGTAAAATAAAAGAGCCAAAACTACTGCAGAAAACATCCATAGATGTTACTGTTGATGAAAATTGTCCTTCTATCATGTTTTAGCCGGTAAGTTTTTTAGTCCCGCCGAGAACATCTCGTATTGTTAGACATTGCTATATCCCTCTCAGGGATTTTTTGCGTGTGTGCGTGGGGGCGTGTGCACGCGCATGTGTGTCTTTTCATGGATGTTTCTGGTTAAGATTGTATTAAATCAAGTTATTGAGGTTACCTGATTTTTTATCTCTACCATGAAACTAAAAGGGAAAAAGAACAAGAACATTTTCTGATTTTGAAGAGACTTTTGCTGAACTTAAGGCTGTTATGTCAATTCTAAGCATTCTCCGAAGGGGACACCGATTGTAGTAATTGGGTAAGTATGTAAAGGTCAGCCTGACTCAGCCACATATAAGAAAAAGTACCAGGAATATTGATAATTTTTTATATCTTCAAAGGCGGTTTACATATTAGGAAAACCCGCCCTCCGTTCGCTTAATATGCAAGTTTTTTTCTGTTCTTTCTTTCTTTTTCTCTTTTTGGTAGAAAAAAAAAATTGATTGGACTTTATAGTTGTTTACTTTTAGAAAGAGCAAACAACAACTAATCATCCCTTTAAATTCCAGACCATCTAGGTCTGCTGTCCATTACCTTATCATCAACTCTCTCTCTCTCTACACACACAAAGTAATAGGCTCATAGCTCATAAGCTCAGATAGTAGACTACATTTATTTGTCCCTTTTGAATTTTTTTTCTTTGCATCATGGGGTGTAAGACACTGGAGAAGCCAAATCAGAAGCACAGGAAAGGCTTATGGTCACCGGATGAAGACTTAAGGCTTAGAAGTTACATTTTCAAGCATGGCCATGGCTGCTGGAGCACTGTAGCCATCAATGCCGGTGAGTTAACTTCCCATTATTCTGCTGAAGGGAACTTTACGTTCTTTAGCTGCCATGTTTAATTTGTTCCAAGACCTTTTAGTGTTGCATACCTGTATGTCTAAAACCATTTCTAAGCATTGATACATGTAGCCTGTGAATGACATTATTAACATGCCCACAGATTAACAGTTTCCAAGCTTAAGAATTATTAAGCATGTATACAGTCGGGATATATGAAAAGGGTAGCATTACTATAATTTTTTCAGTTTCATACCTCCTCGTTTTGTCCAATGAGGGTGTGTCACGTGTAAACGAGGGGGGGGGGGGGGTAATTCCTTTCCTGTTCTTGGTGAATGATCTTTCTCAATGAATTCCATTTGTTAGATTAGAGGCAATGTGATAGAGTAAGAAAGTATCAATCTTATTAGTTGATTTCTGACCTCTCTGGTACCGGAACAAGTCAAGTGAAAACCCTCTAATACTTGCAGGTTTGAAAAGAAATGGAAAGAGTTGCAGACTCAGGTGGATTAATTATCTGAGGCCAGGATTAAAGAGAGGAATGTTTACCATACAAGAAGAGGAGACCATCCTGACCCTGCATGCCATGTTAGGCAACAAGTAAGCAACTTTTGGAGCATTATCTCACTTATATTGTATTAGATTCTAAACCATTACTCTTCTAGATGGTTGACCCAACACCGTTGTAGATGGTGAAACAAAATTTTTTAAGTTATTTTCTAAATAAATTCGGATCGATATATTATATCATGTGTTAAAAAATGGGTTGTTAAGAAAAAGTAAAAGAAACTCATCAGGGGCATACTGTTAAATTGGTCAGGTGGTCTCAGATAGCACAGCATTTGCCCGGAAGAACTGATAACGAAATCAAGAACTATTGGCATTCTTATTTGAAGAAAAAAGTATCAAAAGCTGAAGAAACTGAAGCCCAGAATACATCTACACACACAAGTTCAATCATGGAAAATGTGGACTGCTCACTTTTTTCCCCAAAATCGACAAACAGGAATCCAAGTATGGACTCGTTTCAACATATGGGGGGATCATCGACAGATACAGATCAATGTGTACCACAGGAATTCAATTTTCCAAAAGAGACCCGCCAGAGCAATTTACCAAGGCTACTATTTGCTGAGTGGTTGTCACTGGATGAATTTCAAGGCCAGGGCTTCAAGAATGCAAGCAATCAAGTAGTTTCAAAGGATAATCTGATCCTTAATTCACATTTCCAAAATGGATTTATGCATGGTAAATTGCAAAATGAAGGAACTTTTTGTGGAGAAATTCACCAAGGGCTAAGCAGTGGTTCAGTTGATGATATATTTCATCCACAAATGAAGTTTGAGGATCAGATCTCAGAGAGTGGTTTATTTGATTTTATCTCCGAGGATTTCCACATGAACAATGATGCAATGTATTTATGAGAGGTGCCTTTGAAGCAACTTCAGGAAAGAATAACTTCTAATTACACTAGCACACTACATGGACTAATAAAACAGGTCATTGAGAATCATCTGTTGTAGGCCACCTCTTTTTCTTTGCAAGGAGGAATGCATTAGAAATAAACCATCAGAAATCAAAGAGGTTCAATTAGTAATTATTGTTCCCATGAAGTTGCTTTCAAGGACTCCCTTTGTGTAAATCATTTGAAAGTCAACTGTATGATCTCTGTAATGATTTGTGACATTTTAATAAGTAGCGCTTGGAGCGATATTTTTTTCTCCTATGTTTAATTGATACCGACTTTTATGTAAGAAAATCAAGAAAAAGCAGAGCAAAGTACTAACATTAGAGACAAATGATGAAAGCAGCAAATCATAACTTAATAAGAGATTGAACGGAAAGATGCTGTAAAACTAAAGCCATGGAACAAAAACTAATTCCAACAGCCACCAGAGTTTGCAACTGCCAAGTAACTTGCACTGCGTTTATTATTTTCTCTCTACTTCTATTGACCCGACAATGAATTATAAAGAGAGTATCAAATCTCTCTTACATGTTGCCAAAGATGAAGTGTTCCCAAGAATCGACAGTCCCAACCATTGTGTAAATCCAAGTTTTTGATGTGGACACGCCAGTTTAACCAGTATCATGTTGCCACAATTTTACGCGGTTGTGCAAACTGGTTGGCATGCTGTAATTGATATTCAACGATATGCAAGAGGGGTGCAATTTCTTTTGATCTGTAATCCAAGTAGGCCTTATATAGCAGTCATCCTAAACACAAATGATTCTGTAAGTTATTCCTGCTTTAGGAAAGAATAACTCAGATTTGGGAACCCTTGCACAATATATATGCAAAAATACTTCAATTTATGCATTAAGCAGTTGAAGAGGAAGGGCAGGCCATGTACAACAGGCATTGATGCCTATAGAACACCCTGTTGCCTTCCAACTCCCCCAAAGTGATTCACTATTATTGACTCATTTATTTGCAGTTTTATAATGTTTGTGAGGCACATTCATGCCAGCTTCAGGCCTCTAAATTTATACTATATTGATGGATTATTGATAGAAATCAAGAACTATTTCCCATAGAATCAATGGATACAACTTCCCTTGATCTCTAACATATTTAAGATACTGAAAATTCACTCTTTTTCATACAGTAATGAAAGAATGAGCCACATTTCACTGCCTCAGACCATGCTTACGAATCTGCAGATATGGTAACTGCTATGTTGAAGTTATAAAGTATTACAAAAAAAACTAAAGTCATTGACTGCAATGTAAAATAGACTAATAATATTTACAGGGGAGATACAAAATGACTTTAGCAGAGGCTTTTAAAAATCAGCAGTAATTTGCACAAACTTGAATCCCAGAATTCGCCTGAAGCTCGTCTTCTCCTTGATTGTTCTATGACCCCCAGACAACATAACTCATAACACCAAGTTTATTCACATGGACAGTGGAAGCCAATATACATCCTGCACGTATAGTTATGTACTTCACGGTTCATGTCATCTAAACTAATATCAGCAACACTAAAATGAGGTTACAAGGAGATCATCCGAAAGAGGATTACCCTGGTCCATAGAAGAACTGCAGCTACCATGAGAATAATTGAAATTGGAGTCCATTTCAATGCAATAACCTGCTTAGAAAAAGGGAAGGCTAAAATTTAGGGGGAGTTTGAAAATGGTTGTTCTTTGTTGGTTGCTAAACCTTTATTAAGCTTTTCCTCTTGGCAAATGAGAAAGGTACATGGACTTGTTTGTGTATTGCACATTGATGAACATACCTCAAGACTTTTGGAACCCCAGACTGGAGATACATTTCGAGGCGCTTCCATCATCATTTCCAGCATCTCTGATGATACTAAAAAAAAAAATTCACATTAGTAATTTGCACATCTTGAATGTAATTGAAGTTCAACAATAGAAACACTTAAGTATGATAATAAGCTCACCCGTTCTTCGTCTTCTTTCAAATATTTCAGATATATGTTCTGTAACAATATCTAGTTCCTGTCGACGATTAGCACTTAGCTTTGATAGATTTGCCTGTGTCCTTGTATCTATGTATTGTCTTCTAGTACTGCTAATAATGCCATCTTCAAGCCACAGGAAACGAATAAGAATTAACTCGAGTCATCAAATATTGGTATTTACTGATTGCTGGGAAGCAAAGGAAAAGAAGATTAAGATTATGAAACATAATAGGCTTTACCAAATCTAACAAAACTGTATGGTTTTGTAATTTTCTCCAAGAGGGTCATATCAAACTTCTCAAACTCCCTTTGCAAATCTTGTAAATAGTGGAAGGCTAGCTTTATTGGATATGAGGAATCACAGAGTGTAATGAAGCAAACTCCATTCTCAACCATATAGCTGAAAACCACAACATTAAGTTTAATAAACAAATGTAGTCACCGCTATATGTTTTGAGATGTAATTCCTATAGAGCTTAATTTGCATTACATTAGTTCTATTGCATTGACAGGCATACAACCAAAAATCATGTTATGGAACTCAAATGCATTCAATTTATCAATTTTTATTTCATTTACGTCAATGAGTAAGCTTAGTCCAAGGGGAACAGGGAATAGAACTCGCAGTTTGAGGGTTTGACTCGACCCCAGGTCGTGCCTAAGGGTGTACACTGTACAACTTCTTAACCACTTAGACAAATCCACTTTGCTCAAAAGTATTTTATCACAACTGAGCCATCAAGGAGTCTTGGAGTCATCAACAAGAATGACATAAAAGATGTAAATGGTGTCACTTTGGAAGTCCTAAAAATGTGATCCTAAAGACATTAAGACATACACAATCCAATGACATGTATTCATAAGAAGGTGCTTATTTTTGCTGAAATGGGAGAAGAAAAAGATACTTGAAACAGTGTTGATCGACACTAATGGTCATCGTTGAGAGTGGCAAGGTTCCTCTTGAGATTTCTTCTAGTATGAACTCTCCTTGTTGCTTGTAACTTGAGAAGTTGTCATTCTTTTCATTGACATATCTTTGACCTTGGGCTAGAGGCAACCCATCGCACACCCTTCCAACTATTGTTAGCTTCACCATCTCGAAACAATCTTTTTGAATGGATAAGATTCTCTCTCTCTCTCTCTCTAGAGAAGTTCAAAGGCTTAAAAAGATTGAAGTTTTTGGTGGGTCAAACTTTGGAGAATTGAAGAAGCTCTTTGGAAAGTGACTCTGGCTTGTGGTGTTTTGAGACTTAAAAGAGGAAGAAAAAGGAGCTTTATAGGAAAGGAAAAGAGAAGGAACAAGGAAATGAGAGAAAACTTGGAGGTGAAGTTATTCGTTGTGTGCTCAAAAGATACCCACACGCGGTGGAGAAAAGCTTAAACATGTCGAGGGACGGCAAAACAAATGGAAACATGGTGGGCCAATTTTAAACGAGTAATACTGATCAAATTTTGAAATTAAATTTGAAGTTCAAATGACATCATATCAATCAAAAAAATCCAAATTAACTGTCATGTTATTTGAATTCTAAATTTAGTATCAAAATTTGATCAATTTAGTATTACTGTTTTTAAAATTGATTTTAAGGTTTAAGGATAAGGATAATTAAAATAGTATTGACAACTCAGTTAGATTCCTCTACTCATACGCATGGAAACTCCAACATTCACACATTTATTGCATATATTGTTATTGGAGCTATCTGATGTTTAATACAAATTGTACACTTTTTGGGCGGGTACAAGAAACGCGGTCTCAAATTGATATGTATATGTCAAATTGACCATAGAGGAGATTTGATGATTATTCAAAATATGCATAAGTTAGACTGTATATCACTTGATTAAAAAAAACAAAAATAGGTTGTAAGTCTTCTTGTTGCACCATCTTGTACAAATGGAGCTAACGAACCTGCCCATAAAGGTGGTCTGACCCATTGATCCTCCAAAATTACAAGTTAGCGAACCAAAGGATAGTACAAGTAATAATCGGAATGAGTTATAAATATAAAAGTTTTGAATTCGAATTTTGGTCTCCTGAAATTAGGCTATAAGAGATTTATCATTCGTGAATATCCTAGTTCCGATATTGAGATGCCTTTGACCGGATCAAAAAAAAAATTAATCAAAATACGTGAATACTATTTTGAACATGATTAAATGAAAAAAAAAAAATA